ACCACAAATGTTCAGTACTGGTAATTAAATAATCTAGATCGTTGGAGGGAAAGTAGGAACAAAGTATTTATCATTTTTTTCTTTTCAAATAAGGTTTGCTTAAAAGCATGTCCAAAGCAGAGAACATTTGATGTAGGTCCAGAGAAAGATAGTTGGCAATAAGGGAGTGGACAAAAGTATATATATGTATGTGAAACTACAGTTATTTTATGAGGTCTCTCCATGGGGTAATACGAATGTCACATTACAGGTATTTTAATTACATTTATAAGTCACTATGTGCAGCTTATGAATGATTATGTCTCATGAATCCATGTATTTTATTCTATTAGGTGGATTTTGATTAAGTTCTCATTCAGCGGAAACAAACAAAACAAGACTTCCATAATTAAACTACCTCTAAAATTTATACTATCTAATTACGATATTAGCATGAAACTATGTATTCTAATCTGCAGCAGTAAACTGCTGCTAAACAGTATCATTGTTAATTGAACTAAGTTTAATTTCATGTTTAGCAATTACTCCAATATTCTCTGAAGAGGAAAAAAACACTCGTAACATCGGTGTAGAAGTAGTTCTTTGAGGGAGTTTAACCTTTTTAAGCAGACAGCGTGGCAAAATCAGATAGGGTCATCTGAAAAAAGAAGGGCAGCACACTTCAACCCAGGGACGTTTTAAAGAGAGCTGGTAGGATGTTTTATTCCAATACAGAAATGAAAACAAACAGCACTACTACCTAGGATTTACCTTCACTCTCTCCCACTCTGCCTTCACTTCAAGCACACGGAACTCTCTTTCAGCTGCCCCTTCCTGCCTAGCCTCTGCGGGAAGTCTGCCTAGAAAGCCCTAATAACCTAAGACAGTTAGCCCTGGCCCCCTGGACTCAATCCCAGTGTATCTAACCTGATTTCCTAAATGTAAACACAGAGAATTGGACAAGAATAGTATGTACAGAAAGCAGAAAAGGGAAGTGAGGACAAGACAATCTTTCAAACCCTGTTCACATCATACTCACTCATTATACATATAACACTTCTTTCCATAGACAACTCGCCAACGTACCACTAAACTGGCATAAAAATGGACAACAGACACCACATCTCGCTGTTCTTTCTCCCTATGATTTTTATTGTTCATCCTTGCAGATGACCAGAAACATTGGACTAAATATGGACACACTAGCATTTCTTCTGTTACGGTGGGGTACCAGAACTTGAAATAACAATTTTCAGAGCTTGGGAGAAGATTTCCAACTTAAGCAAATATGAAATATTGTTCCTCTAACACAATTTATTATTTTCATATCATAATGGCTACATTTTCATTAACCAGTTTGGAAATGAATGGACTATTACATGTACCAAAATGCCTGTTCTGCTCAAAAAAAATTCTCTCTTTGAAAAAGGAGTCTGCTATAACAAAGTTAAATGTTTAGCGTTTTAATACATTAACGTTTGTATACTTGGTGAGCATACGTAGGACAGCCATGAGCCTATTTTTACTCGTACTAACTGCGCTAATATGTAATGGGACATAATGAATATAACATTTATGAAAGCTATGTTCATATGTCCTTGTTGCATTTAGAGTTACAGTAAGATTATATAACTAAACATGAACTCTTCCAAATGAAAACTAAACACTATAACTAAATGTATTACCAGCTATCTGTGGGAAAAGCAACCGTTAATGATATAGTACATTTGAGACTGCTTTTTTCATTCTGCAAACCTAATGACAACTTGCAGAGGCAGTTTGATTAAAACATCTCTGGCACCACTGGCAACAGCAATTTATAAAATCTTCCACATGAAAGAGAAGATAGAACGTATTTTCTGCTAAGGGCAGTCTGGTTTGTTTGCTAATTGAGAAGTTGGGGAAACTGTTCCGTGTTCACATCCTTCCTTCCTCCCTCATTCCTGCAGCTTCTGCTCGTTCAGTGTCAGTCATTGGAAAGGACTCAGAATGAAATGCTTTGCAGGTTCCGAGTATGATACTGAACTAATGCTTAATCCTTGCATAGTGGTTAAGTATTCCCCGTTCCCTGGTTTGCCCATGTACTGTGCACAGCCAAATGAGCCACCCACGTATCTAAGGTGGGGAGAGCAATTCTGAAGAAAAATAAATATATGTGCTTACACTCTGATGCGCATATCAAGTTTGATGATTAATGTCAAAGTTTTCTAGTTTACTGCTTGTATTTACATTAGTTGTGCAACTTTTTAGGCACCCAAATTAAAATTCTGTACTGTACTGCCACTCAGAATAAATTAACCAGGAATATGAACAAAACTTCAGTTCTGCTCCTAACAGTTTATGGGTAACTGTTTAACAGTAAGTCAAAAGCGTAACTTCCAGGAACAGAACAAGAACTAAGCTTCCAGGCCACCAAATACCTTTTCTCTTGATGTGAACAGCGATGTTCCAAAATAATATTTAACTTCTTAGCTTCTAAATTAATGCTCTCTATATATGATATTTTAGTTTCACTTAATATATTATTTTACATTTCACTTCAATCTCGTTAATACAAAATTCTTTCAATATAATCTCTTTTCTTCTATAGCGATAACTGTAAATTGCAGAATCAACTAGGTACTGAAATTTTGCTTTGAAAATTGTGAAACTTTTTGTGTGTGTAGAGTTGACACTGTGTTCAGAAAGCCATACAGGGAAAGCTGACCGTCCCATATGCACGCTACGCAAGGAGTAGGCAATGGGAGAAGATGACTTGGCAGACCTTGTTTCAAAGCATATCCCAATACTTCTCCCATGTAAAAAAGGGGTCAGTCAGGGTCTTGTAGTTTAGGATGGCATTAGGAACCATGGGGCAGTTCTGTACCCTGGAAGCCTCACGGAGCACCTTTGCCCACCCTCTGTCTACAAGCAGAACTACACCATCACACTATAGTAACATAAACTGTTTTCTTAGGAAAGAGCTTTGTCTTGTTTGTCTTTTCTTTGACAAGGAGGGGATTAAAAGAAAATTATCGCCTTGTATGACTTTGCCAGGGAAAACTGTGGGCATTCAGCATGGGTGAGATTTGGGTCTGTGACTTGCTGAAAACCCCTATCTCAGAATCTCCTTCTGGGATTGTAATGAAAAGCCATTCCAGTACTTCTGCCTCTTTTCTCACATCTGCAGAATGGTAAGAGTAATGCTTATTTTCACTACAAGGTGACTGACCAGGGCTAAGATGAAACCTGATCTGTGCTTTCAAGAGGAAAAGTTTGTGTCAAGCAGCTATACGGGGTATTTTTAAATCAAATCTGAGTATAGACTTGCTTTAACAAGCTGTCTTTTCTCGGCAGCTCCATCCTATCAGAGATAATTTCCTATAAGATTCAAAGAAACATGAAGAATAAAGTCAAAGCTCAACATACCAAAAAGTAAGACATAATTCGTTTTTATATTATTATTTGGAGTAATCATTTCCTCTGAGAAAATAAGCCTCTTTTTAGGATATGAAATACTAAATAGTAAATCCAAGTGACTGTGGTCAATGTTTTCTACATTAGAAGCAATCCTTTCCTATATAAAACAACAAGGATACTACTGATTACCTGCCTGATGACCCCATTCTGGTTAAGAATGTGTTCAGGATACTGTTCAAGTGACAGCATTTCAGCTGCAGCTGAACAATGTTTGTACTTCCTAATATTGTGACCTTTTTGCTTGGGAGAATACATGCAGAATGCTCAAAGAACAGGAAACTGCTGTCTGTCTAGTTTTGGGAGTCTAGGAAATCAGTACCACTGAATGTTACTCCTTAATATCTCCTTCCTTGTTTCACCCAGCCTCATCCAAAATACACAGAGGAGTCTGTTTAGTTTCTCGCCCCATACCTTGTATGGTTGCTCACTAGCACATTCTGATTAGGTTGTGTATTTTGCTCACCGTGTCTTGTGGAAACCGATAGTCAGTGGACAGCATGACAGTGAGTTGAGCCCTATAACCTTTGACCATATTCCTAGATTTCAACTGCTGCAATTACACTGTTGTATCACTCCTGCTGTTCTCAAGCACGCTGCATCACCCCCAGGCAAGACACAAAGCCTCCGGCCATCGCCACCATGGGATGGAGATTCAGTTTCTTGACAGCAGGCATCTGGTTTCATCAGCTAGAGCTGAAATGGCCACGTCCTTGAGGGAATCCCAGCAGACTCCATTAGAGCCCTCAGCTGGCCTTTAGGTTATGTGCAGCACAAGCAGTGCTGGAAACCTTTCGTCTGAGATAAAACTGCTCTTTTCTAAAGCCCTTGTTGGCTCACTGGGGCCAGGGAGTAGCAATCAAATGGGATTCTGAGTAAGGATCTGCTCTCCGGAGTCCTTCATCAAATAAAAACCATCATAGCTAAATCATAGCAATGTACTTCATCCAGTTTCATTTAGATAGTGTGTAAAGCAACATAACTCCTATTTCTTCATGTACGCTCTTAACCAAAAGCTGTTCTTAATTGCATTATAACCCACAATAGTGAGATTTAAATTTCATTTCAAATGTAAAATAATTCTGTTTGAGTTCTTTAGCAACTTCTCCTCATCTAATATGGAAAGAGTTTTCTCTTTAATTGTATCTCTATGCCTTCGAGAACATTGAGCAGCCTTTTAGACATCTGCTTTTTCCAACCTGCCACTTAACAAGTTACGGTTTGGGATCATTTTCTCTTTGGCTTATTTTTCTCTCTTATCAGTTGCAGATTATGAACTTAAAAAAATATGGAGGGCCACAAAGTCTGAAGGCCAAATGTGGGGAAAACTCCGCAGTAATCTTTATTAATGTGCTCTGTATAGAAAACTGTATGCATTTTTGCTTTGTATGTTTGCTTTTAACAGAAAGCTGGAAATCACAGAAACTATAGATAGATTGCTATAATTTCAGTGTCAGTTAGTCATTGACTTTTTTTAGTTTAACGTGTACTGTGGTCGGCCCCACACCCTACCCAAATAACTCTCAATGGACTTTTCCCCAGAGGAGATTACAGCGAGTACTTACTGAGGCACAGTTGCTTTCTGACTTGTCTTCCAGAAAGCCAATTTGGCATGGTGTCCTCTGATTCTGCAGCCAGTAGTCTGTTGATTCTAGCAGACTGTTACTGCAGAGAATCTGTTAAAATAGTTAAAAATAGTTAAAGATAATTAAAAAATTTACTCAGTCCTACTGTGCTTTGGGGGCCTGAACTCTATTGTTGTAACTAAAAGGAAATCTTGCCTACAAAATTTTTTGGGGGCAAGACTGGGACCCCTGTTCCTTTTGGACATGTCCAGTTAATGCACCTTAAATCAAGCGATTTATGTATCCCCTAAAGTATTAGCCTACTTTCTTTCAGAACGGAAAGACCTCAGAGATACTTAAAGGAGATGCCTAAACCCAACATTTTTATCAGAAAATATTGCTAGGAGTTTTGTTCTGTGTTAAAGTGATAAACGTAGATGTTGGGAAAACTAATTATTTAATTATACCAGAGTGCACAAACTTGCAGCCTTTATGATTTACTGTATCTCTCTCCACAACAGATCGGTACTATTTATTCTGCCAGCAGCCTCATTTCTGAGACTGCCTAGGCTACAAACTCTGTCTTCTTAAACACATTTTTCAGCTTTCTGAGAAGCTAAAGTACTTAAGACCTGCTGTAATGAGTACTGAGCTCAGTCAGTACCCTGAGACCAAAACTTTGCGTGTAATCTATGTCGACTCAGTCCTACAGCTTATGCCTCAAACAAAACCAAAATGGGGCTACAGATATCTGTAGACTATAAAAAGGCAAAGCCAGTTTTGCAAGTCTGATGCTTAGATTGAACTGAATACCTTACTTGCTGCCTCTGTACTAATATTCTTCCATGAAAAAGAGAGACCCTTAGCATTTTTAAGACAACTGTGTAACAGCAGGAAAAGAATAGCTGCAACAATGATGCTACTTATTGAACATTTTATATGGCTTATCATCTTCAATGTTAAGAAGTACGTTTGTGAAATGGATGTATATTTTATTTGTACTTCTTGCAATTCTTGCATTACACGGAAATAGAGTGTACTTTAGCTCTTTAGCCTTTTATTTTAATAATGATACTTTAAAATATAAAATTGTTGCTCTACCTGGAAAAAAAATCTATCCACAGTACTTTCCTTTACCTTACTGCATGTTTTGCATTGACAGGAACATTTTCTTTGCATTCAGGAACACTTGATCCATAAGCCTAGATCCCTTCCTTAGGAAGAGAAATGAGAAGAACTTGTGAGGCCTCTTCATTTCTCAGGGAAGACGAATGACTGTGGAAAGCTGATCTGGCCAGTTGACACAATTTTCTAATGCTCAGGGGCAATCCAGGAGTAAGCTTATTACCACTCACAGACTAACACCCACTCTAATTTTTATCTTTCTGGCAGAAAGCCAGTTAGATAGCTAATACTGTACTCCCTGTATTATTCTGTATTGATTTCTGAATAGAAGTCGGCAGAAGATGGATGAGGAGGTAATGGGGAACACCGCAGTCCATAAGTTTGGCCTGCTTCAGTGCCCTTCTTCGGTGCCCTCCACAAAGGCTTTGCACCTTTGTGGTGGTTGTTTCTCAGTACTCCAGCCCTGCTATGGGATTTCTTCCAGAAAGCTTCAGAATACAAATTTAGGGTTCACAAAATTCTCAGAAAAAACACAGTGTCCAGGGACTTTGTTCTGAGAATGACAAAGGCTCATGAATGCTTCACATCAGCACCAGTCTCTTCTTGGGGGCTGCTAGCTAATCTTGTTTATCAGTTGAATAACTCTGCACTCAATAAATTTTATAACCTCCTGTCTCAGTGCAAAAAGATTCCTGCCACCATAACTAACTCTGAGACTAGATGGGGAAAATAATATGTTTCATATCCCAAAGAAACAATTTCCTGTTAGTGTTATAAACTGTTCTTTGTTGTTTGTTTTTTTTTTTTTTTTTAAGAAATGTTTTCAAGTGTGGAAATACTGAACCGTTATAAACTGGTTGGTAAAATCTAGAATCAAGCATTTTTTTCTTCCTTTCCAAAAACTACCATCCTCTGAGGCTTTTATGAAGATAAAGAATTGAACATATACATGCATGCACACACACACATATCTACATATATATATGTTTTCAGATTTAATCTGATTCTAGATCTTCTCATCCTCAAGGGTTGAAGTTCTAATTACCTGTTAAGACATAATTTTGCATACATAGGAAACAGTTCTCTTTAGCTCAAATAGCTTTTGCTGTAACAAGCAGTCTTGTTTCATTTCCTTAAAAATGACAGTGAATTTGTCTTCAGCCTTAATCACTTTAGATCTTTCTTTCCCACATCTCAGACAGTTTCTGAGAAACTGGAATAGGCAGAAATTATCACGCAGAAACAAGCTGCAGAAATCCTTGGTACTACTCTTTGTCTCATAAGGATTTGGTGTGCACACCCAACATTTCAGAACAGCTAAATCATAGCAGATGTATATTGTAGATGATAAACCCATGAAATGAGCCGGGCAGTCCAAACTTCACATAGTTTTCCTCCTGTGGGATGTTATATGACCCTTGGTAGCTCTATCTTTCTCTCAGAGGATGTTTTTATCAGGAAGCAAATACTGGTAAAGCACCAACAGAAGAAATAACTCTCCTGAACAAATGTTTCAGTCGGGGCAGGTCATAGTTGCCAAGCTTGGGTCACTCCAGCATGGTTTATAAGTTGCAAGGCTTTATAGTACATTTAATTTTTGTATGCAGCTTTTCATAACAGACTTTGAAGCCAAGGGTAGAAATTATTACATGGAAGTTTTGGACAGCATGTGATTTTTAAGTAACCTCAAGGAGATGAACAACGTTAGTAGGATGATGCTTTCCCTGAGCCAGATTCTGCTCTCATGTGTGCGTAAGTAGTTTCACACATGCACTTGAGAATGCAGCCAGAAATGTGAAGAAGGGTGAAATAGGCATAACATTTTTACTACTGGAGGTTGGAGAAAATAATGTGCAGCATTTGGATTTGAAGAAGACGGGTGACAAAAACAAAACCCGATATACCTGAGTCCGCGCAGCAGACGCTGGCAGAGGTGAGCAATCTAAGGAATACAGGTTGGCCCAAAGTCATCTGGAAAGCCTCTGGAAATTACTCAGAAAAGACAGCGCTGTGGGAAAGGGAGGCATGCAGGAACATGTGGGAGAGGCCTCCTTGCGTATGGTCTGGTTTTACACGTGTGAATGGTGTTCGGGAGACGGAAGGTGACATCTGAATAAGCGGTGGCAGGAATGAGGGGTAAACTTTGGATGAGTTTGAACTCTACCTTTTGAAATGCAAGTTTCTGCATTAGGACTATTACAGACATGTTATTGCTCAGAACCTTCCCATTAGTACTTCTTTGGAGGAAGGGTAATTTGGGCCAGCCCGCAATGCTGATCGCAGTAGGGTTACGCACACCTGCTATGCAAAACTGCATATACAGAAGCCATGTGAACTTTTCGGCATATTTCTTTGGTAACAGACAGCAATATCATCACGGTCAAAGACAAACATACAGTAGGAGTGAATGCAATACTTCTTACAGCATCTCGCTATTGTAAGGCAATTCTCCCTGTTAACTAGGTGCATGTGTTTATATATATGTAAACTCCGGCTTTATAATAAAACTTGCTAAGATATTCATGCTTTTAAAGGAATATACTGAAGTCCTTATAGTAAAATAACGTATGACTGCGATGATCAAAAGCGTATGTGCTTGGAGGAGCTGGCCTAAATTAACAGGGCTAATTAATTAACCAAATGCAATGTGAGAACTGGTATTTTTCAGAGGTGTAACTCTACTAGTACATGCTGATTGCCATTTTTGCATTTAAGCATATTTTCAAAATATACTGAGCTGGTCTGTACCAAAGGATAAGAAACCTAAACCTGTACTACTTCAGCAGTCAGTCAGCATCCTTCTTTTATATAGCCTGCACTTTTAAGGCAAACAGTATCACTTGACAAAATTTCCTCCTCCTATCTTGTACTTCTCTTCATTCTTACCTAATTGAGACAAGTTCTGGGCCAATCCCACTGACATACATTGTTAGCAATTTTGCTGAATTCAGCGAGGTTGCTTCTGATTTGCAATGGTACAACTGAAAGCAGAACTTGATTCGTTGACCATACTTATGTGTAACAGCTGCACACACTATACTGCTGTATATCTGGTTCAGAGCAGGATCATCACACTCAGAAAATAATTCAGGATGAATTTGCATCATGCACTAAATGTGAAATCAGCAGTAATTCATGGTTCTAAAAAAAAGTTTTCCACTCCCATCTAGAGACTCAGCCATCAGCATTACTCAGTGTGTTGTGAATCAATGAACTAAATCAGCCTCTAGCAGAGTGTGGATTAGAAAAGTCACTCTCCCAGAGGAAAATATTGCATACCAGTTTAGTGTAACAGCTTCCTGCTCCCTGATTTAGATCATAAGGCATTAAAATACAGTAAATATCTATAACCGAGACAACATTAAAAAGGCTCTGCTCCACAAATGAAACATCTGCGTCTTCGTGGCTGATCATCTTAATTGCTTTGGTTAATTACTACTCATCAAAAAAGATATGAAAGTGGGACATACAGAATAAAATGAGATATCAAGGGGCACATCTTCTGCATTTGTTCAGATTGGTCTGTGTAGTAACAGGCCACATCTCATATGGCTCCTGACAGGAGCCATTCATGCCAAATACAATTACTCAAACCTGCAAGTCAACTGTTTAAACTGTCCCCTTGCAGCAGGAACCCATAGTGTTTCACTCCACCACCAATTACACAGCTAACTTAAAAATCACTGTAACTAACAGAGGCTAAATTTGCCTATTTTTGGGTAATTCTTCATCCTTTTCCACACAAAAAAAGAATGGTAACACATTTTGTGACGATGCTGTAAAGAAGCCCAAAATATCCTGCTGTTTGTCAGAAGTGTTGGCAGAAGCGAATCACTTCTTTTAGTGTGCCGACAATCATAAAATCGACTCATGTTACGATGAAAAGTTCAAATGTAAGGGATCAGGCAGGTGAAGCAGCTCTAAATCATGTGGTAAAGGCTAGCCTTTAAAAGAGAGTGGTGCTTCTGAAGGTGACGAAGCTGGGAGCATTGGTAAACACAGTGGTAGCACTTCTCAGTGCTGTGCCACTGTCTTTCAATCGTACATAAAATAGACAACGCTGAGATTAAATGAAAATTTAAGATGTTCTCCCACACAATGGATTTTCTGCCTATTTCTGCCATTTTGAAGATTCCAATTACAGTCAGCAGCATTTTTTAAAAATCAGGTATTCTTTTGCAAATAAACAAACCCTTTGATCAAATGAAATATTGACACTTTGTCTTTTAGCCATGTTGGGGTAAGCTGGAGAAGCCCAGTCCCAGCATACACATCAGTCTATTGAGTTCTTTTTTATATCAATGATTTTACATTTAACAAAATTTCTGTAGACAGACAATACTCACCCCCCACACCCACAGTGTGGTTTTCAGGATGAGGAAAACAAATCTTTATCTTCTACATGTTTTATCTTTCTCTCTCTCTGCTTACATATATAAATATACATTATTGTTATTTTGAAAAAAAAACAAACAAAAGGAAAGCATTATTACTACCAGTGGAAGGAAAATGAAAAAAAAGTAAGGATTATGGGAAAACTGAATGAACTGAAATTTTATGACATTTCTGTGATAGAACAAACGCTTTCTTATCAGCTCTAGAATTATGCCTGTGGGAGACAGTAGAGCTCTGAGGGTTATTGCAAAGTGAGAGATGAAAGATGGCGTGCCTTCCTCACTAGGTCTTTGGTAGTGCTCCCTTCCCTCAGACTGTACTGCCATAATCTGGCCCTGGGGAGGAGGAGTACAAGGAAGCATCCATGGTCTTCACCTGTGTATTCTCAGTTGTACTGAAATTACCTACATGCATAAAACAATGTCGGTTGTATCTGACTCCTCCTAATGACATACATACACACACAGGCACTGCTTCCCCCCCCATTCCTCTACATTAAATAACTACTTATAAACCCATTTTGAGGCAACAAAACCAGCAACGGTCAAATCTATACTACCTCCTGGGTTGCTGAACCCTTCCGGTCAGATACGAGAGAAGGCAGAAAAGCTGTTTCATGAAGGACCCTCCATTGTATTGACCTGAGAGAAGCAAAGCTCTGGACCCTCAGGCTGGGTCCCAGAAACTTGCCACCTGTTGAAGGGCAGTCCTGAAGGTATTCACGCTATGCACTGCTTTTATTTCATATTGTCAGATAATGAGGAAAAATAGAAATGTTCAGGGGCAGTTTATCTCCCATACATGTACAACATATTTTGGGACCAGACAAGTATAGACCAGGCAGACAAAATTGCAAGATACCGTAACAGCACCCAGAATTTATTTTGCTGCATGAGTCCTTTTCTTTTTTAGGTATCAGTTAAATTTTGTATTCCCCAATAAAGACAAAAGCTAAAAAGCAAAGCTCTAACCTGGCATATATTTGCCTTTGAATATAACATAAACTTAGAAGTTACCTTCTTACATGCTGTGACAGAGCTTCCCAAACTGCTTGCCGAACTGTCTGTGCTGCTGCCTTGGTGCTCTGGGACTTCATGCATCAGTGGAGATTGAAAGTTGCTGAAGAACAAAAAAGAAACAAACCCCAAAAAACCTTTCCAGTGACTCAGCTGCATAGATAACTCAAATGATGCCAAAATACAGTTCGGTAAAGAGATGTAAATTAACTTAGATTACAAGAAGCTGTCTATACTCTCCTTGCTGTCATTACTAGTCTATTTATTACCTTAATTTTCCCTTTTTGGAAGACTCTCCTGAGCTACACACTTTGGATATAGAATAGCAGACCAATGTCTTTTGAAGATTAGAGGATAGCATATAGCTGCCTATAATCATATCCATCTGTCTTGAATGACACTGTAAAAAGTGATACTAGCTTGTTTTCATAAGCAGGCAGCTTGGAGCAGCAAATTAAATACTTGCTGCATTAATTCAGCTTGGTAGACAAAAGAAATGTTTGCTGCATTTTTACCTGCCTGGATAGAAGTAAAGGGGTAGTGATTAAAATGAAAAAAACACAACAAGAGTGGTTGAATTCCATAATCTAGATGGAATAGCTTGATATGTTGTAGGTTTGGAGCAAAGGTAAATCATGCACATACTGTTTTGTGAGTCAGTTGTACACAACAGAACTATATTTACTTTGGGACTGTGCAGATGTGAAATACAAAACCATAAAAACAAGCTCCCCCAGCCAAGTTATTTGCATGCACAGCTGGTACCACCCCTCACACTTTTCTTTTGGAATAGTTCAGGCCAGCCTTGTAAGATCTCCCTCCATATAATAATCAAATTGTCACCAGCTTAGTGAAGCTTCTCTCTTGACATGATGTGATCGCAATTAAAGACCACAAAGTCCTAAAGGGCTATTTCTCCAAAAAT